TGTCAACCATGACTGATCAATGTCAACCATGACTGATCAATGTCAACCATGACTGATCAATGTCAACCCACTTTGGAACGTCTTTGATTTGACCGCACGGTCGTCAGTGTTAGTGTTGTAAGTATGGCTATATGTCACCGCCAGGTCCTGTTTTTGTCACAGAGACATCCTGGCGTCGATCGCTAAACTGTGGTTGGTTAAAAGGCTTGGACACATACTCCCGGTGAGGATTATAATCGTGCTGGAGATTCGATATGGGACTGATGAAGGTGCAAGCCTAGTGTTTACGTCACCCTACAGCAACACATTCCATTCCGTTACTCCCTGTTATGAACGGAGAGCTAGCTACTCAGTTGCCTCTTGCCCTATAACCGCGTTTGGGCCAGCCAGAGGTTAAGGGCCCCGTACAGTAATATCTGTTATGAATCTAAATAGTCTCATGACCTAGATTCTGCCTAGGGTATGAGCTGTTCCCCGTCCAGGCATGATGTTGAATTGTATAATTGTGGATCGGATTGTCAACAGAGATTGCACCCGCCAGCAGCCGTCGCGGCCAGACGTGTCTGGTTACTCCTCTCCCCAGCGAGCTGTTTAGCCACACAGTGAGGGAATGTACTTCCATCGGCGCTGCTCCCTGTTAAGGTTGGGGGGGGGGGGCAGTTGTATTGCTTCGGCTTCAGTTTTCGTTGAAATGGAAAAATAAGACCTGCCCGTAACGCTATGCGTGCTAGTGGTTTTGCAGGAATGTAAAAATTCTTGTATATATTAATACAAAAATGTATAATCCGAGCTATCTGATATATCATGTTGATGAGGCTACTGAGAGAGGTACCGATTTCATGATGAAGAGGTTACAAGGGAACTGTTTGAGAGGACTCTTGAGTAACGTGGGGGGAAGATTATTATTATTAACATCTTTATTGACAAAATTAATTACAATTTTGCCTAATCTGAGGATTTTGATAGTCTTATTAAATTGAGGTTAATGCTAGTATTCACTGTCACGCAGGACAGAGGGTCATACATAAGACAATAGGCCTAAACTGTAGGCTGAAGCACATATATATCACGGTTACAATCAATGTTTTAATGTGTGGATATGTGAAAACAACTTTCTATTGTGCACTGCCACACAAGTGCAGGGATGGGTTCATAAGTGATACAGCTTAGAATATAAGTAGAAATTGTTCTTCATTCTTTAAAATGGACAAGCAAATTTTGGGTAAATTGTTAGGATGTCGTCCAGAACACCTGAGTCAATAAAATAGTTACACAGTTGGTGGTACAATAGGCCAGGAGGTCTAAAGTCCTTTACGGTTTCACATTCATCAATATAGTGTTCTAGTGAATGCATTAAAGGTTTATCACAGAGTTTACAATCTGAATATTCTGGTAGTGGCTCAGCCTCACTAACCTGCCAGATGTGTCTATAGCCAAGGCGAATTCGCGCAATTACTACATCACATTGCCTGGTCCGGTTACTGTGCTGACCATACAAATACCTATTATTACAGAACTTGTCATAACTTTTAATACTGCAGCTTTCAGGTCTCTGTGCATTTCTTAGTTCTTCTAAATCTGAATTAATTTCTTTAATTTGTATGTTTCTAATAACTGCATTAGATAGTCCAAAATCATAATCAATGTTTTCTTTCCTGCAAGCCTCATTGGCCAATTGATCTACAAAGTCATGTTTTTCAACTCCAACATGGGATGGGATCCACACAAATTTTATACAAGAATTATTATCATTGGCAAAAATTACATTCCATTTAATATTACAAGCTACTTCCGACATACATTGTGATGGGTTATTTAAGGACTGCAGAGCACTTTTAGAGTCACAGAAAATAACTCCACCACCATTGAGCTTAAGGTATTCAGTGGCTAGATAAATACCCAATAGCTCGGTCTGTGTCGTGCTTGCCCAGTTGTTCAATCTCTGTGTACTAGTCATGATCATTTCATTCCCTTTATACACTGCACATGCACAACCTGTTCTACCAGTGCCTAACTGCACAGAGCCATCAGTAAAGGCATAGGATTCAGTCGGTTTGAGAATTTGAAGATGACTGTCAATAGCTTCTAATGTTATACATCTCAAAATGTCAGTGTTATACATTTGTTTTACACTGATGGGAGTATAATGCAGAGAGACCTCCACATCTTTCCAAGGGGGAATATAGTGAACAGTTTTATCAGGGTTAAGAGATACATTCAGTTTCTGAAGATTATAGACACAACAACTGAGCCACACACTGTAGGGAGCTTTTTGCGGCGGATTGAGGGAACAGTCAGAATTGTTTAGAATGGATCTCAATTTAATTTGAATAGAGCTGGGGGGACCATTATTTTTCAAAGTTTTGGCGCAAAACATAGTACTAAGTAGAACTATTCTTTCGTAAATGGAAGGTAAGTTTAGTTCCTTTCTCATGTTAACAATTCTGACAGTTCTAGGACAACCCAGGATGATGCGCATGGCATCATTCTGTACTACATCTAGGCCTTGTAATTGTTTAGGAGAAAAATTAAGAAGATGCAAGGCATAATAATCAACAACAGATCGTATAAAGGCAATATAAAAACTACGAGCATATTTTATGTTAATGCCAAATCCTTTGCCAACAAGAGTTCTGAGAGGTTTAAGACGCTCAACAAGTTTTTTACGCAGGTTGCTGATGAGATTTGTATCATTAACCTCGACTCCAAGATATTTATAAGACTCACAAGTCTCCACGGGCACTCCATTAATAGTATAGTTAGCATGAAGAGAATGGGGAATAAGAACCCTTGTTTTATCAACAGAGATTATGAGGCCACATTCTACTACTTTCTTGGAGAATGCATCAAGTAACATTTGTAGCCTTGGTTTACTGTGTGCCATAATACAAATATCATCAGCATAACATATAACTGTTTCCGTAGGTTGTACAGGTATGTCATGGATAAGTTTGTGCATAAGTATATTGAAGAGCATAGGGCTTAGGACACCGCCTTGAGGTGTGCCTAGTTCGAATGCATCTGTTCTTGTACTTTTAACTCCTTTAAATAGGACACTAGCACGCCTGTTGGATAGGTAGCTCTTTATCCAACTCAGAAGATTACCTTTGATTCCAAATTCAGCAAGTTGCTCTAATATTATTTCGCCATTCGCTACATCGAAAGCTGACTTTAGGTCAATAAAGGCTGCCTGTGTCCCATCCTGGGAGTTTACAAAGTATTCAGCAAAGCATGTTTGTGTGCTACACTTGGGCATGAACCCATATAGGTTTGGGGCCAGTTTTTCTTTGACCTGAAACATGACACGATTGAGAACAATTCTCTCCAAGACTTTACACATGCAAGATGTAAGGGAAATGGGTCTGAATTTTTGAGAGTTAGGTTTAGGAATTGGTATTATGAGACTTTGTGTCCATTTCTTTGGCAAGATACCTTGTGAGAGACTCATTTGATAGAGGTCAAGCAGAGGGTGGCTAGGGACATCATTCAGTAAGCTCAAGATGTTATAAGTTATACCATCCTCACCAGGGGCAGTTTGCCTAGGTTTTCCTAATGCTGATGTTAATTCAAAGGGGGTTATAGGAAACTGATCCGTTAAATCTGGTGAGGAGCGTGCTATTTCAATATTAAAGTTTCTGTTAATGTTGGTATGTCTTAAATGCTGCTGTATATCTGGGGGTAAGGAAGAAATTTGTGAGACACTAGACCATTGAGCTAGGAGCATGTCAGCATATTCTGCAGGAGTATGATGAAGCTGAACTGGGGCTGAAGGTTTGGTAATGTTTTTAATTTTGTTCCACATTTCTGATAATGTTGTAGTTCTATTGATACCTTGTAGGAATTGTTCCCAATATGTGTTCTTAACTTGACCCTTAAGCTCGCGAAAATCTCTGTTGGCATTAAGGAATGCAAGTAAATTGTCAGCTGTTTTGTCTCGTTTATAAGAGTCAGCAAGCTGAAGCACTTTAGCTCGCTCTGCAATAATAATAGGATCCTCTGTCCATGAGGAAGAACGAGTGTTCTTTTTTTTCCTTGATTTAACCCAGGTATCATAATAACTGGTAATGATACTGACAAGATCATTGTAAAAGTGGTCCACTGATACAGGTGTATACCCAGTGTACCACTTATGTACATAAGCCTTAAAGTGCTGTTTAAGATTGTCTGGAATGTTAATTTTAACTCTAGGATGAGGATTGGACCTAATATCCGCCACATTGTATTCACAATATATTGCAAAATGATCACTTACTAGTTCTGGGATGAGCTTAACGTTGACGTTGCTATCTACTAGGCTGTATCCAATCACATAATCCAGTCTACCCCCCAATAAATGGGTCTGTTTATCAGTATCATACACAGTAATATTATGATCATTAAGGTATTTCAAGAAGACCCTTCCATTATTGTTACACTGAACGTCACCAAGAGCAGTGTGACGAGCATTAAAGTCACCCATACATAACATAGCTGTGTTACCTGTAGGTTTCGGTAGCAGGTCTGCTTTAAGTACATTACATCGTCCATATATGTTATACAGTAGGAAATGGCTATTTGCAGTTTGCAATTTGAATTTTTGATAATGTATACTATCACTCCTATGATTTTTAATTAGTTTACAGATTAATCCACTCTTAATATACGTTAGTAAACCAGTTCCAATACTGTTGTTGTATGCTATATACCCAGGTATCCTAGGTGGGACCTTCTTGATAGTTGTGGTCGTATATGGTTCCTGTAAACAGATCACATCTACGTCTCTCATTTTAGCATACAAGATTACGTCATTTATCCGAAGATAAACACTTCGAATATTCCAAGAAAGAAACTTAATTGTTTTTGTTTGATGAGCCATGGTTAAGTGTCAAGGGAATTAAGGTAACATTTAAGTTCGTAAAACAATTGGAGAACATAAGTAATTTTGTTCCGTGTGTCCTGAGTACTTTTGTCTAGGAGGCGTCTAACCTGAGTAGGAGTTGGTATTCTTTTAAACTCTTTACCTTTAACCAAATCAAGGGTGTCTTGACGATCTAGTTGGGGTGCCAGTGAGGGATCAATGACTACTCTAACACCATTCCCCATGGGGATTTGACACTCACGTTCCGTAGAGACAGGTGAAGTAGCCTCAGCAGCTGCAACATTACCACTCGCATCACTACTGGTGCTGGGAGAATTTACTTGATCACTATCGCTAGCATGATTCACTTCACTATCACCGGGCAGATTCATCACTAATGTTTGTATTTTAGCTTCCAATTCCATAATTTTATTTTTTAACCAGTTAATTTCTTCTGTATCTTTGCTTGTTTGCCTTAGCCCATCGAGGGTTGGAAACTGCTTACTAGAGGTGACATTAGGAGCTTCCAGCTGGGTGCCTCCTGCAGCTGGACCAGACGCCTCTAGCGTCCTGCTCATGGTAGAGAGGGCGGGGCGTCGAGGGCAGCCAGGATGCCAAACATCTACACCTTGACGCATACACCTGGGACACTTCCGGACCAGAGGAGAGGCTTCCTCCCCATCCTCAAGGGTAGGGGGGTCCCTGTGAGGACACTCCCTTGTTTGGTGCTGTTCAGCACAGAGCCCACACACAGGGTCATGTTGACAGTACCTAGAGATATGATGAGTACCATGGCACTTATAACAAACAACAGGGGGGGATACCCAAGATTTTATAGGACTTGATGGGATGAAATGTCCAAAAAAGGTGTAATGTTCAGGGGGAGGGTCACTGCCATTCCAAACAATGATGATCCTGTTGAGAGGATGACCATCCCTACGTATCCGTCTTGCCTTGTAGACCCCGTCAAGGGTATAAGCTCTATCAAGAGGATACTCTTTGGGAAAACTGGTAACAATATATTCCTTAAATTTTTTAGGTCGATTGATGATGTCTTCTCTGGTGAAAACAATATTAGCAATCTCACCTTCAACCAGTTGAGTGATGATATTTTCCTGCTTACGTGACACAAAGATGTAAGGGGATGTTGGTCTAGGTCGGACTATATCGAGGAGTGTTTTGGAGAACTTAGTAGAAAGGTGTTCGAACCATTTAAGTTTATCGTTGGTGGATGTTCCAGCTGGGAATGCCAGGCGCACATAGTCAGCGCGGGGAGCAATAGGAGGCTTGGGTGGGCGGGCCCCTGGCTGGGTGGGCCCACCACCGCCCACCTCCACCGTCTTCACACGGGTTCCGGTGTTTCTGTCATCATTGCCAATGTCCTCATCGCCATCAGCAGAGTCTGCAAGTTTAGACTTTCTTCTCGCATTCCTTGATTGTTGCAAATGCCACTCATTTCCGTTATCCAGATCAGCATCGGGTTCCATGTCATCGGGTGACTGCAACCCACTTCGAGCATCAACATATTCCTCGGCGGCGGGCTCAGGATCCATTGCTTGGAGATCACTTGGATTAGCAAGCACAACAGAAGATAGGGTGGTACTGAGCCCGGTTGCCATAACAACGGGCCAGGAGGCGCAGCACAGGGTAGCTGCCCGGGGCTCCACCACTCGCCCAGGCTAGGACACTGTCACCCACCTCATGTAAACACACCACCAGTCGCGCACACAAACCACGACCCTGGGAAGGAGGGCCCAAGGACTATTTTACACACGAGGGGAGCGTGGGGCCAGGTACACCACAAGGCGGCCCAGTGCCGTCCCACTGTACCTCTGGGTAGACTCCACAGGACACAGCACTCTCTGACCCCAGCACTCTCTGACCCCGTGACTGTGCTAAGGGTGATGGCTAGTAGGTGCCTCTCTAGGTCATCACATATGGCGTATACAATTATTTAATATTATAACTACTCCTCTCATAGAACAACAAAAAAGACTGAATAGCAGATCACATAAGTCTCGCACCATATGGTTCCGGGTATGCAGCACCAGTGTGACTGACCACCTTCCTTATTCCCATCGAATCCTGCTTTTCCATCCCCTCTCCATCTATATCTCCATCCCCCCCCCCACCAAATATATCTACAAACAGTGCCACCATCACCCTTACGCCACATCATCCTCACCCTTATGCCCAAACAACCCTCACCCTTCCACAACCACCACCACATTCACATAAACCATCTCTTATGATAGCTACACACACTTAAGCCTAATATAATAAGCCTACACACACACTTCCACACCCCCACCGCAAACACATCCACACACACACAACCATGCCCTCCCCCCCCTTTCCTGCACACACGTGCACATCCTCCTATACACACAAACATGTTCATCCCTGAATAGAGGCTATTCCTACTGACGCATATAACAGGCTCGTGAAATATATGGGCCTCTACAAGTAGGTTTCAACTGAGCTGAGGTAGGATTCCAGCTCTTGCTTGCAGTTTCACCAGGTTCCTTATATGATAGTTCCCTATGTGATAGTTTCAAAATACATTCTCATAAAATAAATGAGTTTCTAGGAGCAGGTTTCAGATGAGCTGAGGTTGGGTAATAGCTCTTGTTTGCAGTTTCACTAAGTACGTCATTAAAAAAACTTTATGAACGCTGGTTTTAGTTTAAAACACAAAAGAGAGAGAGAGAGAGAGAGAGAGAGAGAGAGAGAGAGAGAGAGAGAGAGAGAGAGAGAGAGAGAGAGAGAGAGAGAGAGAGAGAGAGAGAGAGAGAGAGAGAGAGAGAGAGAGAGAGAGAGAGAGAGAGAGAGAGAGGGGGGGGAGGAGAGAGGGGGCTGTTTCAGCAATCTCTCCTGCTCTGAAAGGGGAAGTACAGAGCTGTACTCAAGACGGGACAACACAAGTGATTTGAATAGAACAACCATTGTGATGGGATCCCTGAAATTGAAAGTTCTCGTAATCCATCCTATCATTTTTCTTGCTGACACAATATTTGCTTCGTTATGCTCCCTAAACGTTAGGTCATCAGACATCATTATTCCCAAATCATTTACTTGCTGCTTTCCTACTATGGGCAAATTTTGTACCCTGTATTATGTTTAAGGTCCTCATTTTTACAGTACCTGAGTACCTGGAATTTAACACTGTAAACATCATGTTATTTTCTGTTGCTCAGTCGAAAACTATTAATATCTGCTTGAAATTTTTCAATGTCTTCAGCAGAGTTAATTTTCATGCTGAGTTTTGTGTCATCTGCAAAGGATCATACTAAGCTGTGACTTGTATTTTTGTCTATATCTGATATGAGAATAAGGAAAAGCAGTGGTGCAAGGACTGTACCCTGAGATACAGAGCTTTTAACTTCGCTTGGACTCGATTTTAGATGATTGACAGTTACTCTTTGTGTACTGTTCGACAGAAAACTGAGTATACAGCGTCCTACTTTACCGGATATTCCCAGTGACCTCATTTTGTGTGCTATCACTCCATGGTCACATTTATCGAATGCTTTTGCGAGGTCCGTGTATACCACATCTGAATTTTGTTTTTCTTCTAATGCCTCTTTGACTTTGTCGTAGTGCTCAAGTAGTTGTGAGAGGCACGATCTTCCCGCTCGAAATCCATGTTGGCCTGGGATGTAAAGGCCATTGGTCTTTATGAAACTGGTGACCTGACTCCTAATCATTCTCTCAAATACTTTTATCATGTGGGACGTTAGTGCAACTGGTCTATTATTCTTTGCCAATGCTTTGCTCCCTCCCTTGTGTAGAGGGGCTATGTCTGCTGCTTTTAGCGCATCTGGTAATTAATTAATCAACTAATTAATTAATTAATTAACTAATTAATCAGAGGTTTTAAATGATAATTACTTAATAAGATTGAAGCACAAGCTGGAGGCAGCAACAGATACAGAGAAAGGATGCAAAGTCTGCAAGACGTTCCTCAGACCTTCACAGGAGATGATGCAGCAGGGACCCAGTACGATCTAAAACTTTAGCTACTGCCTCTATGTACTTGAGCTCACAGTAACCTTGGAGGATTTTACCTACAATATGGCAAAGACATGAAATAAACTAATTACTACATAGACATTCAGGTCTAGTGATCCTTTAACCATAAAATAAAGGTAAAGGGGAGTAGGGGGGGCCTGTCTGGGAGTAAGGGGAAACTAAAGTAAATGTTAAGGGGTAGACTCAAGTTACAATGCTGTGTGGAAGCTTTTGGATGATGGTAATTGTTTCTATCATATTTCTATATTGATTCGTGTATATTGAATATGCAAATCCTACCAAAACACAGGGTTATTCAAGTGACAGAAGTTTTTGTATTTTAGTTACATGTACCATATTCAATTTTGTTGTTCAATTAGTCGTAATTATGGCTTAAGATGGCTAAATAATATATATTTTTGTTTATATAATTAAGGATTATATAACACATGGGAATGACTTAGAAAGAACTTCTCATTATAATCATGTAATATTTAGTAGTTGGATTAAAAAGAAAATATACAAAATGTATATAAAAATATTTATTAAGATTTTCATTTTGGTTTAAAATATTAAAGCAAATATCAGCTAATAGCATCACAGCTCCGGTCCCCCAATTGCCGAGACATTGGGATGCCGAATTAGGAATTACAAAGTGACAGCTAGGAAATGAACGAGAACGAAAACGAGCTTAAGAGGCACTAAAAGGCAGAAACTAGAATGTCAGAAAAGAGAATTGGGGTTGTGTGGTAAATTCTACCCACTTTATCAACATTATTATCTAACAAATGTATAATTTCTGTATCATAACAAAATCATATCCAAATCACATCAAAATCATATTAGAATCATATCAGAATCACTTCAGATTCATTATATCTTACATCAGCTGGATCCTACATGACCATTGGTCACGTATGCCAATGGGCCCATATGCGCCTACGTGACTTTGTGCATGATTTCTCAAGGATCTAGAACATTCAAGGAAAATATCTTCATTAAAAAACTATTGGAACATCAATCGAGTTCCAGTGAGGATTAAATTTAATCCTTAATAAGAATCAATGGTACTATTAAGTACTTCTTATAATCTTTAAATCCTAAATCTAATTATATTATAATCACATTATATATCAATAATATGTCTAGACAATAAAAATAATCAATCAACATACATTTGAAGGCAACCCTCCCCAACAGGAGGCAGAACCAGCTCGGACTTCAAGCGCCCACGACTGGAGCACCCGAGGCAGAACGTTTGTTTACATAAACATTGCAATCACGTGACGGTGCCTTATGAACATTTTCAACAAAGGACACCACACTAACTAACCATTATCACCAGTGATTGTTTTCTAAATACTGGGGAAGTACCTGGACTTCCTACCTGTTCCATTGTCACATTCTTCCCGATCCGGGAAGAATGACACGATCATGCCGCTCTAAATCCATGTTGGCCTTAGTTGAGAATAAGTCCCTACCTGTTTTGGTAGGGACGCGAGTCTTATTTTCCTCGGCGTCACCCCTTTTATATAAAAGGAACCATCGGAAATGCATCCGAGGTGCCCGTGTGGCATATAAGGAAATTTTTTTTAATACTTTTATAAATACAAGTGAAAAGAGAGGCTCACAACAGAGGCTGCCTCCACCACACCTAATCTTATCGTACACCAAAACTACTAAGGATATAATCAACCAGAATCCTCAACAGCACACAGCACCGCTCCTGTGCCAGGTAAGTCCACTACGGGCTCACCATAGCCCGTGCTGCTTGGAACCTGTTCCGAGTAGCTTAATCTATAACAACATAACTCAACAGCAAAACTGTGACATAAAAATAAAGTGCCTAAGCTCTACAAGAAAGATTATACAGTCTGGCAACACCATCAGACAGGCACCGGTACTCAATTTGGATGAGTATTGAGGTTTGTTGTTGCACTATGTTGATTGGCCAATTTGCATGCATCTTAACATAACCTTAATATGTCCATATAAATTGTTAAGCGTTACACAATGGGGCCAAGCCCCAAATTTTAGTAAGTTTAGATTTAATCTTTCAGCAAATGAGTCTTTTTCTTGAATCTGGACACTCATTCACTGAATGTCATTCAATGCTATCTGGACACTAATTCACTGAAAGTGACTCTGCGCTTGATTGAACCTATTGATATAAATTTTTATTTATATCTGTATATATAAATTTGTATATATATCTGTATATATAAATTTTAATAATTCTAACACGAATTTTCTCAAATTTTCTTATATTTCTTTTCACTGTTGATGGTAACTGAAAAATCAATTCTCCAAAATTCATTTTTATTTCTAGTCTGACGCGACACTTGAACGCGTTTCGTAAAACTTATTACATTTTCAAAGACTTTAGTTTACACACACAACTATAACTAAACAGAGTTTAAACAGCTTCGATTTTATACCTGCATTTGGGTGAGGTGATATGTTACAACAGTTTTGGATGAGGTGAAAACAAACTTTCAACACATGACAGAACACGAAACAATGGGTATAATATTTTGTAAGT